TTGTAAATAAAGTCGAAAAAAATTGTTTTTTTCATTTTGAAGAAAATTTCTTAAATTTTTTCACGACTTTTGAAACATTGCACCTCAATGAAAAATGGTCGTATTTATATTAAAAAAATCCATTTTAAAGCTTCAAGTTTCTAGTCTTGAAATCTTTTGGCAAAAAATTTTCTGAGCTACGACGGTTATTACGTAATCCTAAGAAATAAGTGTTTGTATTAAATTTGCTATTTCATTTATTTATTCCAATAAAGTCCTGTTATTTTTAAATAGCGTGAGAAAAAAAATGTATTTTTTTCTTTTTTTTGGTCCACGATCTTAGGGAAATTTGTATTAATTAAAAAAATGTATTTTAGGTACTTGTAACAAAAATGACTATTTCGACCATATTTTGCATTTTTCATCCTATTTTTTGACAAAATTTCACTCAATAAGAGCTAAATCGAATGAAACAAACGAAATAACATCAATTTAGACGTATTTTTGTTATTTTTAAGCATGTTTTGACAATATCCTGCAAAATAAATGAGTCTCTGGTACAAAAACGAACTACATCTAATGAGACACGCTAAAATAATATCAATTTCAATATAATTTGGTAATTTTTTAGTCAGTTTTAGCAAAAATTTGAATGTATTTGAAAAAAGTGCCAAAACACACTCTAAAAATGCAAAAATAACACTAGTTTTGACCTAATTTAATTAATGTTCGGTTTGTTTTACGAAATAGTTCTGTTTCTACCTAAAAACATACTAAACGCTGAGAAATGGACAAAACGATCTACTTTTTTCCCCACTTTTTGCGATTTTTTTACTTTGTTGAAAAATAAAACAATTTCTCGATTTTTCAGCTTGTTTTTGAGAAAATTTAGAATTTGAGTTTCTGCATGGCTAAAAAACGTGCAAAATGCTCAAAAAATACAAAAAAAATTGACCGAATTTACTATACAAGGTGCACCAGAACTCACGCCCCAGAGAAAAATGCCATATAAGGTAAGATACCAGGAACATGGAAAATATGTTACAAAAATTTTATCTATAAAAATTTCGAAGTTCTGAAAGTTTAAAGTTTGCACTTTGACTCTATTTATTTCTGTTGGAGAAATAATTTTCCAAGTTTTTTTGCTACACGTTATTAGAAGAGGATACAAGTAAGCTGTATCCTAAATTGTAACTCTGTTCAATGTTATTTGTAGCTTTTATTGGCAAAATTTTTGTACCTTTACTAAATAATTGTAAACAACATATACAAGATCATCACAAATTTGACAATGTTGAGTTCGAAAAAAAAGATTTTTCACAAAATTCTAAAAGGATCTTGTAATAACCGGCTTATGAATTAACTTAACTAAAAAAAATCCCGACGTCCGTAAACAAGAAAATTTAGAATTTCTTTTTCATCTCGGTATGATTTAGGATTGCTTGGTAACCGTTGCACAGAAACAAATTTGTCAAAAGATCTCAAAACTAGAAACTTAAAGCTTCCAAATGGTTTGTTCGAAATCTATATCCGACAATTTTTAGATGAATTAAAATTTCGGAAAAATATTTGTTCCTTTAATTTTTTGTAATGTATTATTTTTAAAATGTACTCTAAACAAGGCTGCAATAACAGTTTTGTATTTTTTTATTAATAAAAGCACAATTTAACTTTTATACAAGAATCGGACACGTACAAGTGTAAAAACAATTTTTTGTGTAACGTTGAATAAAAACAAACACACAGAATTGGGTTTAAAAATTCGTTTGCTTTTTAAACATTGTTTGTGATTGTTGAAATTTCTTAAAGGTCATTTGTCTCTGGGAACAGAAACATGGCTTCTCTGTGAAAGTGACCGCTGGCACGCAAATTATGGTTTAGAAGGTAATAATGACGTTGTTTGTGCAAATAACACTGTCTAGTTGCATTTTGCAGTATTGTGTAACTTTCTGAATATTTTGTTTTAATTAACGCTGTGATATTTTCATAATATAAATAAATTTCTATTTCTTTCTAAATTCTGTTTTATTTTGTGTTGTTTTCCTTTTTGTTTGTTAATTCCAGGTATGTAATTTTTTAAATCACTTGATCGGAAAGTATTTTACTCTATTTTAGCTTGTCATTTTTCAGCAATGGCACAAGTAGAGGAATGCCAATCAACTCCAGCTTTATTGGAATCAAGTATTCAACCTCAAGTTAGTTCCACGTCTTTAGGAATGATCGCAGAACACAGTCTTTTAGAGTCTTGTACACGTCTATCGATTTCCTTGGAACAAAATGGATTATTTCAGGTACACTTTTGTAAAAAAAGTGTTTTTTTGATATCAATTATTACAAAATTGGGTTTTGTAGGGTAACAATACATCACATTCATCTAGTGCAACGCACTCATCACGTAACAGCCAGAATTATTCCGGACCAAAGATGACACTTGAGGAACTCAGAGCTGTCAATAGATATGCAGAAAGCACAAGAAGTTTGAGTTATCTTCCTCAGGTTGAATTTAGTGTGTGTTTAAGTCGAGATGCATTTTTTTATTGTAGGTGCATGAAAGACAGACCGAACGAATGAAGACGCGTTCGCAGTGGTTTTTAGCGCCATCTGTTGAATGTTCCAGTTGTGGAGGGTCTCTGGATCTACCTCTGAATGAAGCCGACGTTTCGGTTTTAACAAATGCGATTCTTAGGCGCTCCTCATCAGGCACTATAGGTATAGTCGAAACAAATTTAAACAATTTTATTAAAGCAATTTCCAGTCGGTATAGCCGGTCTATCACTTAGTGCCGAATCCGTTCAGAAAAGGCCAAGTATTCGACGATCCAACTCTCGTGATAAACGACATTATCTTCATAGGTCAGCTAGTCGAAGAAACAAAGAGAATGGTTCCAGGTCCAATAGGTACTAAAACTAGCAGTATTTCTTTTTTTTTTTAATTTTATTATAGTTTTAAGGGTCGCAGTGATAGGAAAAGCTCGAATTCGCGTTCCAGTAGTTTCAAGATAAAGTGTGAAAACATATCAAGATCGTGCAGTTTCAAGACCAAGACTGAGTTATGTACTTGTCCAGGGGGTAATATTACAGATGACAGTAATGCTGGTACTCCTACTGCCAAAAAAAATGAAACAATCTGTGTAACTTTAACGTATAAGCCTCGTATTTAAGTCGGCTACAAGAATCCGATTAGGAAATTCAATAAAATCGTACGCTTATTAAAATTAATATAGAAATGTTTTACAAACTATAGGAAATACTGTGTGTTAAATTGACTTTGGACGATTTATAGTGGTTTCAGATTTAAGGTGTCTTCGAGGTCCCTATAACACCAGGGGTGCTTCAAGTGAAGCACAAATAATTTGGTTGCAAAACTTGGTTTAAATTGAAAATCACATTAATTTAACGTGGAATTCGTTTAAAGTGTAATAGGAAACCTCGAGTCTTACGACTGAATTTTGACGCTGACTGTTACACTATGTTACAGCTACGTTAATTCAATATTAAAGTACAAAAATGTTGAAAAAGTCTTAAGTATTATTTTGTGTGTTATGTTTGTTTAATCTTATGCATGGAGAGATACATTCCAGTTTGTAAGTTTTGCCTAAGTATTTGATGTTATTTGTTACTTTTACATTTGTGTATCTATTATTTCTGGTCAATGCTTTGGGTATTTTACACACTATTCGGTGTCGAAGAAGAGAAGAATTTTAGTATTTATTGCTTATTATAAATGTTAGTACCCAATTATTATAAACACCAAACAGAGTTCTGGCTCTCTAAAATAATTACATTGGTAAAACTTAAAATGTCTCTAAGTACAATTATTTAAATATTTTTATACACGTTATTAAAACTGATTTTGTACATGTTTTATATCTTTCTTTGGATTTGTACAAAATCGTTAAGTGCATTTTACACTGAGTCAAATCCTTTTTTGTTACATTCCTCACAAAAACTTGGCATTGTGTAAATTGCACATTTCGGTAAGTTTCAAGTTTTGAGAAAAAATTCGTACCTGCACATTTTCTCTATTAAAATATTTTATACCAAAGATTAGAATGATGCATTGCAATTACCAAAAACTATCTGCATTTATTTTAAATTCAATTGCCAAATAAATACCAAATTTTATATACGCATATGTAACGATCTCCATTTTATCAGATTTTGTGTTCGGGAAGTTGCACGCTGCACTTCGTTCATGTTTTATGTATTTTTTATATTAAATAAATAGCATGATACTTTCTTCTTTATTAAAACCTAATCTGGTGAATCTCCTAGCCTTGAATAACTGATGCAAATTTGATTAAAACACACTAAAATCGAGGAAAACGTAATCTCTTTTTGTGAAAAAAAATGTTGACAACAATAAAACTACTGTATACAAAACGTAGATAAGTGATAATAGACATCGAACTGTGTTTTTAATTATTTGTTTATATATTTTCAGTTTTAATCGATTAATTGTTTATTTATGTTATGTTTTAATTATTTTTAATTTTAATCGATTTTTCCAACCTTTACGGTTTTTAGCCTTTTGGGCTGATTCAAGAAATTAAAAAATGCGTTTATTTGATTATTTTCATTCAAACGATCCATCAGCTGATCCACGTCCACACTACATGATCGTTTCTTCTCAAGGCCGATCATATTTCTACAATGTGATTAACATTGTGAATGTGATAAGACGTGAACATAACATTTAAACGGTATTCCCGCTTTATTTAATCGATTTGTGGTGTAAAAGTAAAAACGTGAAACCTATTAATTAGCATGATTTTGTTCCGTCCAATTGTGGTCCTTGTTAAGTCAGGAACTTCCTTTTTACGAAAACCATCATCAAATTATGTGAGTTGATTGTATTTTAATCGACTCGAATTTTTATTTGTCTTTTTCAGGTGATTTTAACCTCTATGATTCCAATCAGGAACATTTCCTCGATGGAAATTACAAAAAATATCACTTTACTTTCCGGTGAAAAGAAAACCGGAAAAGTGATTAATTTTAAATTGGAGCCGCAAGAGGAGAAACCTTTAGTGGTCATGTTATCATGGCTCATGGCTAAAAGAAAACACATTTACAAATATGCCGATTTTTATATTAAGAAAGGTTTTGATGTTATGACTGTGACCATCACTCCTTGGCAATTGCTTTGGCCCCTTAAAGGATCACAGGTACGGTTTTTATGAATAGAAATTTATCAACATTGCAAAAAACTGTAATTAGCAATTCAATTAAGCGACAGGCCATTTATTGAGCTATCAAATTAAACAGCTGAGGGTACAAAGTACACGCAATGTAAGAAAATGTTTCAAATTATTGTCATTGCTTTTATAACATTGCAGTAATTGGTAGACAGGGTTATCGAAACACTTTATTAAAGATTAATCATTGTTTTGAAATGGTTTTTACATTGAAATATTTTTTTAACTATTCCATGTAACTCGTTATTCAAAATTTGATATTAACAACCGGTAACAATTTTGAGACTTTTAAGTTTAATATATAACTAAGTTTAAGACATAATGAAAAGTGGTTTATTTTAATGAACTCGTTTTTTATTAATAATTACAATTGTAATATGCTTAACAGTATTAATGTTTTTTTAAATATTTTTTTTTCAACAGAATTAAATGATTCAGGGACGACATTGCACATCGTGTGACAAAATATTTTTTTATGAACTCTTGATTGCTTATTTGTACAAAGCACTATTTTACAGGGTTTTGTGTTTTAATGTGATTTGTAAGTTTAGTTCAAAATTTAAAATTTCAAACTTTTATTAAAAAAACAACGCTACATTTACATTTTTTAGAGTCAAATATGTCACAAATTTAAACTTTCTATATAAAGAAAAAGAATTCTGCGTTACACTGGATTCCAGTGACAAATTTAAAGCCAAAAACGCCCCTTTTTTAGTACTATTGTGGTGCACAGGTGTATTGTTGATTGCATAATTTAGTGCGATTTACTCTTGTCATGTTTATGTCATTTTGACTTAAAAAATAGCGTCACTGACAGACAAGTTTAATTGTCAAATGTCAGCCATGATGACAGTAAAAGGTAGTTTACAGTGAACTTTTTGAAGTATCAGAAAAATACTGCCCGAAATTTAAATTCCGTAACTGTATTTTGTTATAATTCCTTAAAAAAATAATGAAAAAATTGGTACCTGATACAAGAAAAAAGTTCAATTGATGACATCATATGTTTTTGAGTTGCGACGTCATTTTAAAATTTTTTTAATGACAACTGACATTTTTGTTCACTGTTTTAAATCTTTTTTATCTTTCTGGTAATAAGAAAAAAAAATTTTTAAT